TCCCCCATATATGATATATATTCCAGACGTCAATAAACAATATAGTTGAACACATTTTATTTATCTTGGGTGCACTTTTAAATGCAAAAATAAAACATTATTCCTGAATTGAGGTTATTCCATGAGACTGAGAAAATACGCACCAAAAAACGCAGCAAGCGGTGACGTTGGATGGTTCCCGCCCACGGTATGTTAATGGGAAAGGGTGACTCAAGCTCTACAAACACCGGGGAACATTTCACGAGCGACATGGGAAGTGTTTTGCAGGGCTCATCGGAAAGCGGAGGATAACAAAATAAATTGGAAATTGAGAATCCATACAAAATGCAGAAGTCTTCATATTGAACACGTTATTGCTGCTTACAATGTACGGCATATATTATCCCAAGTAAGAGAAAAAGAACTTCACTAAATATCAACACGACTGGTACACAGCAGTTAACCGACAACAGGGGCAACGGAGGGAACCAGTTGCGCCTTTATAGTACATGTACCTTCAAGGTGAGGTGAAATGGGGTTTAACGTCGCGTCCAAGATCATTGCACTTACATAGCGACGTGAATGCACGTGTATGTGTGTGTGTGGCTGCTTGTACTAGACTAGACTGATGCCGATTTATAGTGCTAGCACACTGAGTTTAACATGAATACCCCACTCAGACACAGTATACTGACTCCGAGCCGACAAGTCCTTGTTTTAGCCCCTTAATGCCGAGCGCCAGACAGGGTTACAACAAGTACCATCTTTTAACGTCTTTTGGTATGACGCGGCTGGGGATCGAACCCCGGACCTTCCGCTCTCCAGGCGGACGCTCTACCATTAGACCACGGAGGCGGTCTACATGTACCTTCAAATCATGTAGAAACGTATATTCGTACTGCAATGGTAAGATCCCATAGGAGAGCTCTGGTGGTATAGAGAAGTGGCGTGAGTCCTAACTGGGCGTTATCTTAACCTTCCAGTCAATGAAAGAGTATGTTTTAGCTGTGTTGACTGTGTAGAGGATGTGCAATGTGTTATATTTTATCAAGCCTTTGCTTGTTGATCTTTGTGCCAAAACCTGCAAACTTAGTTTAGATAAACGACAACAATTCCTGTATCAAAGCTAGAATTCTACGTATTTATTTGATGTATTGATATTCATTTGTATGTTATATAAGATATATGATGTTATATAAGATATTCTATGTTATAGTGAGTGGGTGTGTGAGTTGGGTTTAACAGTATTCCAGTTTTATCGCGGCGTTGCTATGTTCTATAAGATATGCTATGTTTTATAAGGCATACTGTGTCATATATGATATGCTATGTTGTATATGCTATGCTATGTTATAAAATATTTACTATGTTATATAAGGTATGCCGTGTTATAGAAGGTATGCTATGTTATATAAGGTATGCTATGTTATAATATATATAGTGTATATAAGATATGCTAAGTTATATATGATGTGTTATGCTATATAATGAATGTTATGTTATATAAGATTTGCAATGTTACATCAGGTAAACTATTTGTATGTAAGATATGTTGTGTCATATAAGATATGCTATGTTATATAATATATTCTGTTATATAAGGTATGCTGTTATGTAAGTATGCTGTGTTATATATTGTATGATCTGTCATATATGATATGCTGTGTTATATAGGTTGTGCAATGTTATATAAAGTATGCTATTTATATATGGTATGCTATGTTATATAAGATATGCTGTGTTAAATACGGTCTGTTATATAAGTATTCTATAGTATATAAGGTATGCTATGTTATATAATGTATAATATGTTATATAAGGTATGCTACATAATATAGACGACTGGGCCATCCGTGCCCCCTGTTATGTAAAGTATGCAATGTTATAATAAGACAAAAATATCTGTTTGTCTGCGATATCCACTCACTCATGAGTAATGCACATGTTTACGTTGTATTCCCTCTATATGGTCATGGCGCTGTTATTACCCCGTCGACAGATCAGTATGTTCTCGGATTCTTTGAGAGTATACAACTCGGGCTACCAATCAGGTGATTCAAATGTAGCGCATTTCACTTTCTCATCAGCATGGCTTCCCCATATTATAAACAATATTCGTACTACAGCTACTGCAACAGATGCTGCTTCTACCACGATTATGCTAGCATTGAGTACTGACGATCGACCAGCAACCCGACAACAGAGATGTTCCTCATAATGTTAAGCACATGCTTGTTTGAAAACTGGATAATTACAGGCCGTCGTTACATCAGACGGAATATATAGAAGAACTGCTAAACAAGAAACTACAACTACACTTTAGAGTAATTGAGTGTGTTGGATGTTTCGCGGCTTTGATCAGTATTCCAGGTCCACCTTGGCATATCAACTTCATGTTCATGTTGGAGTGAGTGAGTGAGTATGGTTTTACGCCGCTTTTAGCAATATTCCAGCAATATCACGGCGGGGGACACCAGAAATGGGCTTCACACATTGTACCCATGTCGGGAATCGAAGCCGGGTCTTTGGCGTGACGAGCGAACGCTTTAACCACTAGGCTACCCGACCGCCCCTGTTCATGTTGGAAGGCCACTTAGATGAAACCTATGGGCAGAAGTATGCTGCTGATCTACCAAGGTTCATAATCGGAGCAAATCTCGGATTCCACTCCATGATCAACTGATATTGTCTGCAACAACTGAGGGAGGCAACAGTGAACAGAGATTTGCGCTGCTTCGGACCAGGGCTACCCGTTCCTCTCCCAATGTAAAATTATTTGGGGATGTCTAACCCTCTAGCTGTTACATAAAGAGGGCCTCTGTACATACTATCGCTCATCCGAGTTTTTAGCGAATGACGTTGGGAAATCTGCATACCTTTGTCTCAAAACGACATACCGTGAACCAGATCCTGGCATTTCCTCGATGGTCCTCTATCTGCCCAGAACACACTGTAATTAGAAGATTATTACATATTAATAATTGAATACATAATGAAAACTTTTGATTGAAGAAATTTCTATCTCCATGAAGATAAAAGGTTGTTTTAACCCTGTCTGTCGCTCGGCATTTAAGGGGCTAAAACAAGGACTGGTCGGCTCGGAGTCAGTACACTGTGTCTGAGTGGGGTATTTATGAAGTCAATGAACTAGCACTATAAATCGGCATCAGTCCGGACTAGTAGAAGCAGACACACACACACACACGTGTACACACACGTGTACACACACACACACACACACACACACACACACACACACACACACACACACACACACACACACACACACACACACACACACACACACACACACGCGAGCATGCACGTCGCTCTATAAGTGCGATAATCTTGGACGCGATGTTGACTGCATGATTTTGTATTGGTCAAGGGGAGATAATAGGACTTCCTAATTATCTCCATTTGGACTACAAAATCCGTTGCTTCAAGGAAGGTTGTCTTTTTTCTCATATCACAAATAAATTCAAGAGACAAACGAGTCTTAAATTTATACAAAATATGATAATATTTTCAATTTAATAAATGAACTTTTTTCAGACCAGTCACAACACAGTTTTATCATGTGGCAACTGCTGTATGTATTCGTGTTGGGGCATTCCCAGGGGTTTCCCCAGAAATGTGGAAGTAGTCCGCCAGTGTTTACGTCATTTCAAGAATACAGTTTCGTGAAAAACGTATAACGTCAAACTGTGTCGTTCCTTCACTTATAAACGTCAATTTCGCGGTTATGTGACCAACCTCTCGTCCAATGGAAAAGTCATATATCGTGTAAACCTCCAATTAAACAAACTATTGTATATAGTGCTCGAATTGCGAAATATGAAAGGTTATGTAAAGTGGTTACCGTGCTCTCGTCCTTTTACTGTCATATTTGAATTTCAAGCGAATGATGACGAATTGTACATAATTATTTCCAGCTGTATAATTAACGTTAGTGACCAGCCTCACGCCTCGACTTTGCTCGTGTGTAACAGGAGTCATAAATAACTCCTAGATTGATATATGTGTCATTAGAAAAAAAGTGGGTATTAAATGAAACTTGTTTACTCGCCTCAGTCCAGGCCCATTAGACGACGAGATACCCATCCATATAATGATTTCATATACAAAACATGCGGAAGAACATATAAGATCTGTCTGCATACCCATAAGCACGTTGTGTAGAATTTATATACCTCTTTTGCACGTTAACTCATCCGGGTAGTAAGGCCATTCATACCTCATTTGTACAGAATAGTGAGTGAGTGAGTGAGTCAGTGAGTGAGTCAGTCAGTCAGTGGGTCAGTCAGTCAGTCAGTCAGTCAGTCAGTCAGTCAGTCAGTCAGAATGATTTTACGCAGCTTTTAGCAATGTTTGGATGATAAGAGAGTAATTTCTTCAAGTGCCTGCCATTACACAAGGATAATACTAGAAGAAAGTCGTCATATGCAGGATGTAACTCGATATACGATAGTCACTGGATAAAGATATAATTGTATCTATGTAAACTATATTGGAAATCCAAGGAAAGCATGAACTCATTGATTCACCAACCACCCTTCCAATAAAGTAACTCATGTTGGTGTTCAGGGCTATGACAATAACAGGGAGTGGGGTAGCCTAATGGTTCAAGCGTTCGCTCGTCACGCCGAAGACCTAGGTTCGACTCACCACATGGGTACAATGCGTGAAGCCCATTTCCGTGATATTGCTGGAATATTGCTAAAAGCGGCGTAAAACAATACTCACTCACTATGATAATAACAAAAAAACAACAATTTTCCTCGAAGATATTGCAACGAAACAGCGACATTTAAATCGTTGAAAGCATCTCCAAGCAGGACATGGGAATTGTGACTCCTTCTCCACCTGCCAACATTGTATGAATCTGTCCTTCCTTTTCAAGATCACCGAAGCATGCACTGTGGATGAAGCCCCTTTCACTGCTTGGTTTTATGCCTAAAAATATCCCACACCTGCTACCCTGTCCCTGCTGAAGGCGCAATTGTTCGCCCACCCGGTCCGTGAGCGAGTGATTGTCACGTGAATCTCGAAGCTACGTTTTTTAATCGAGGACTGAAGTGGACAAATCATGTGTGCGTAAGGGTTGTGCATAACACAGCTCTATGTTTACCCGTGGTATCGGGTTACGGGTGTTTTACCGCCCTCGGCCCACCTTGAGTAAATATGTTAAAAATATGTCAGCAGGTGATAATATTGACGGGTGATCCGTCACCGTCAGGTATACGAGGAAACGACAATATCTCACCTGTCATTCGGTGAATCTACTGACTACAAGTCAAGACCTACTGCAGTGTGTAGATTGTACGGATACTTAACAATGCCATCAAACATCCAGGATATTTCACATTGTGCCCTGATGGATAACATTGGACATACTTCTTTCACGTACTCGCATGGTCATATTTGTCGCGCTATGGTCGACAGGACAGGATAACGTGATGATTCGATACCTTTGTGATGAGGATTTGTGATGTCTTCTGCAGAACACACCTGCATGAAGACTCGGGATTGGATGAGGAAGGATTAACGTCATCGTGGGATGGCTGAGAATGTGACATGATCGTCTCAGATTCATATGGTATGACATCATAACTGCCATGATACGATAATTGAGGGCTCATCCCATGAGATTGTGATCATATTGATACAACTGTACAGCCTTCATTATACGAACTGTACTGTGGAGTAACGTTCTTACGTGTAGACGACCGGGTATATCCACCGGAGTGTAATCATAATTTGACACGTCTATATGAAAGCAAAAGGTTAGCGTCATCGTTTGTTTGTGATGACAAATGAGATTCTTTTAAGTGGTCAGTATATCAAATTCATGTCGAAACTGAATATGTTTCCATGAATGTTGGTATTCCCTGATTTCAAGCAATATTTTATGAAGTGACCTCACACAAATGAGTTCACCGTGTCTGTACAGCATGAAAATACCCTGTTGTCAAGTTGTAAATGGGTATATTTAATATTGCAGATGCAAAAATGTTCCCCATCCTCATCAAAGTCATTTATAATATAAACTGTTAAATATACGGTTCATAGAATTATTCACCTTCCTTGGTTAACCTTGAATTAATTCAATGTGAAACTGCCTGTACTTTGACGTTTAACACCAGTCGGAGAAAACACTTCGCGTTTCAGAGTCACGTGATCTCTGACTGTTGATTTCGCACTTGACGTTTCGACCGACACTGCAGTGACAATAAACCTCCATTAAATAGTCAGTATCACCGTGTACATATGAACGTCTCGGGGCGAGCTAGATGCATACATAACCACGAGCAAGCGTGTCTTGTTTCACTGACATGTGAGGACGTTTTATCCTATGAGACCATGACAATGGAGAAGACCTACGCAAATAAGAAATGTACTCACCCCTACTTAAATCTAAGATTTATTTGTCTCTCTGGGTGCCTGTTCTGATAAATGTCTGATGTTTTCATAATTAAGAAGAGAAAATATGAATTACTTTTCATCGAAGCCAGGTTTACAAAATCCATCACAGCGCCTGATTTCAAAGTCCGGGTCAACCAATATCAAATGTGTGAATATTGAAAAGCAAAGGTTATATTACCTCTTGGACGGATTTACGACTGTTCTAGAGCTCCAATGGCACTGGGTGGTGTGTATTTTTTTCAGCGGTTTTCTCGTCAGTTTCTGCTTTTTTGCTCTCCTCTGGTTTGCGCTCATGAAGTGGCATGGCGATCTTGACAACCACCAAGACGAGAGGACTCCTTGTATCTGGAATGTACACAGCTTTTCTTCAGTGCTGCTATTTTCTATAGAGACACAGACAACAATAGGCTATGGGTATCGCTATGTCAGCGAGGAATGTGAGATCGGTGTGTTTCTGTTGGTGCTGCAGTCTTTGGTAGGTGCCATGCTTCAGGCTCTACTTGCTGGAGCCGTGCTTGCCAAAATCCAAATTCCCAAGAGCAGACGAAAGACTGTGCTATTCAGTGATCGCGCGTGCATATGTCTGCTGAACGCTGAGCTGTGTTTGTTGTTCCGAGTCGGAAATATAAGAAAGTCGGAGATCGTTGGAGCTCAAGTGAGAGCCATCTTCGTGAAACAGGAATATACAGAGGATGGAGAGCTTCTCCCGCAGTGTTCGAAAGATCTGAAGTTGGGCTTCGAGGAGAGCGGAGGCCGAATGCATCTATGGTGGCCGACAACCATTATCCATGTTATCGACGAGTCAAGTCCCTTCTGGAACATGTCTCCTCAGACTTTGAAGGAGAGCAGGTTTGAAGTTATTCTTGTTCTTGAAGGCTCCATTGCTTCCACCAGTTTGAGCTTCCAGGCACGAACATCTTACCTTCCTCATGAGATAGACTGGGGGCAGCGCTTCCAACCAATGTTTAAGACAAGAGACCCCGTGGCCAAGTATGAAGTTGATTTTCGTTACTATGGAAAAAAGACTCCTGCACCCTGTACCTCAAGGATGAGTGCAGAAGACTGGAGGTCCAAACAGACTACAAGAAGACGGAACAAGCAGACACTGTATAGTCTGTCGGACTGAGACTTGTCCTGGGTTCGACTCCCTGGTACCAAAGTGTCAAACATCGATATAGTGCATCGCTTTGGGGCTTTCCTCAAACTACTTAAAGTTACTTATTTTTTGTAATGCACACTTATCATTATGATGGCCTCTGTTTGATATTTTCCTGACATGGGCGTTTTTATGTTTACCCGCAGGTGCAAACCAAACATAATGCACTCGCTGTCTCCAGCAGAGGAATCATAGTGTTTCTTTGTGATTGACAAATGTCTACTAAAAAACAGTAAATAAATTATATTCATTGAAGACGGTCAATTCAGTTGTCTTTCACAAGTGAGTGAGTGTGTGATTTTTTTTACAATTACAATAGTGAGTGAGTGAGGTTTTACGTCGGTTTTAGCAATATTCCAGCAATATCACGGCGGGGGACACCGGAAATGGGCTTCACACAATGTACCCATGTCGGGAATCGAACCCGGGTCTTCGGCGTGACGAGCGAACGCTTTAACCACTAGGCTACCCGACCGCCCCTACAATTACAATAACAGTAGTGAGGTTGTATCGCGGCGTGTCAGTTTAATGTGGGGGGAAAGCCCGAAGTGTTGCATGTCTCACTTTGGTGAAACCCACGAGGACGGGTATGGTGCTGACAAATCTACAAACATTCTCGAGGCGAACCGGGATTCGAAACCCCTCTTTCACTGCTAGTATGGACTCGATATCTTTTAAGAAACGATATTTTGACCAAGTCCTCAAACGGCTGCTCTGGACACCTAGCTGCCACGTTTTACAATGCAGTGCTGCGGTTCTTATATGTACCAGGATCCGCTGACTATGGTTTGAAGTGTATTCACCTTGTCGCCCACTCACTTACAACTGATTATAAACAAAACTAACCAGATGTATAATTAAGGTGAGGTGAGGTGAAATGGGGTTTAACGTCGCGTCCAAGATTATTGCACTTATATAGCGACGTGCATGCACGTGTATGTGTGTGTGTGTGGCTTCTTGTACTAGTCCGGACTGATGCCGATTTATAGTGCGAGCACACTGAGATACCATGCCGCAGTTTAACATGAATACCCCACTCAGACACAGTATACTGACTCCGAGCCGACAAGTCCTTGTTTTAGCCCCTTAATGCCGAGCGCCAGACAGGGTAACAACAAGTACCATCTTTTAATGTCTTTTGGTATGACGCGGCTCTCCGGGCGGACGCTCTACCATTAGACCACGGAGGCGGTTGTTTAATTAAGAATTGCCTTTCAATTTGTGTGTGTTTATTGGAGTATAAACCACAGAGTGAGTGCCCAACTGTATGAACGTCGGAGCTTGCATACTACAATAGTGTCGATGTGCATTTCTTCGTTTTGTTCACTAGGACGTAGCGAGGATATCCGTGAAACTCTCTGATGTTTTTCAATGAATCTTAAAACGCTGAGTTCATGATTAAAGGGTCCAAATGATCAGCAATTACACTTCTGTATGTTTTCGTGCTAGGGAATTCCTAGGGATTCCCCCAGGAATGTGGAAGTATTCCGTCAGTGTGTACGTCATTGCAAGAATACAGTCTCGAGAAAAACGTATGAACGTCAAATGGTGTCATACATATAGAATACTAAACGAGCTCCCGTGTAATACCAATTTTATGAAACGAGTGAATAGTTCTGGTATCTGACGAGCGAAAGCGAGTCAGATACCACAACTATTCACGAGTTTCATAAAATTGGTTTAACACGAGAGCGAGTTTAGTATTTTATTTATTACTTGTCATTTATAATGTTTTTAGAATTTTACTGTTGAGTGTGAATAGGCTGACACCTACACGATCCATGGCATAATCCAATTGAGTTTAACAGAATAATACTTCAAACACGTCAAAAGTTGAAACGTATGAATTTAATATCATACAATGGTCCACCTTTAGAATTCAGGCGTTCGTCCCACAAAATTACCGTAGTGCTAAGGCTATCACAACTCATATAATTTAACTTAGACTAACGACTGTCGTTGCGCTAGAGTACGATCGCCTTGTGGAACGGGGCCTTCCACCTCAAAGTTTACAATCACGTCACAATACCCGATGACGTAATTTGTTGAATTTTGTTGCAAGATCCATCGGCGAAACAATGCCATGTGACGTCAGCCTAGCAACAAGGTTGCTGGGGTCATCGAGTGTGCATAAGCTCCTCCCAGTGATCTATCATCTCTACACACAATGTCGTTGAATAAGCCAAGGGATGTTGAGAGCTTTCAATATTTGTTCGAGAAACGTGTTCCTAGAGTACATAAGCACGCGTTGTGGTATTACACAATGTGTAATAAAGCTGTATGTTTATTAAACGGGTGATCTCTTCACGGGCAAGTAATAAATAAACTTATGAACGTCAATTTCGCGGTCTTGTGACCGACCTCACGCTCAATGGAAAAGACGTATATCGTGTAATCTTCACATTATAAACTTATGGGCATATAGTGAGAGTGTTGGGTTCAACGCCTTACTCCAGGTATATCACGGCGTGTCAGCTTAATGTGGGAGGAAAGCCCGAAGTGATGCAGGTCTCAGACGTTTACCCCTTCGCTGAAACCCACGAACACGGTACGGTGCTGACAAACCTAGAAACATTATCGGGGGGAACCAGGACTCGAACCCGCAATCAGAGTTATATTCGTAAGAAATCATGAGTCTATTAAAGGAATCAGACTATATCGCGAGCATGTGTTTATGAATCCCTATCAATTAGTCACGGTAAGAATCTACGCGGACGAGCAAAGGAAGGGCAATAACTCGTGTCGTCCTATATTACCTTATGTCCGAGAAAGTACCTTTTTGTGCAACTTCGCCAGTGTGTGTGTGTGTGTGTCTGTCTGTCTGTCTGTCTTTTTCCCTCTCTGCGTCTCTGTATGTGTGTCACTGTGTGTGTCTCTCTCTCTGTGACTGTGTGTGTGTGTGTGTGTCTCTGTGTGTCGCTGTGTGTGTGTGTGTGTGTGTGTGTGTGTGTGTGTGTGTGTGTGTGTGTGTGTGTGTGTGTGTGTGTGTGTGTGTGTGTGTGTGTGTGTGTGTGCTTGGTATACGTTTAACTCAAGTGTGTTGGTTAGATTAAGGTTGTTAGTGTATGATTATGTACGATCATAGTGGTTGAATTAATCACCAGTTTCCAAACAATCTATGTACCTGGCCATCATGCATCTCCTTATAAAATATTGTCACAATGTTTCGGACATGTCAGTCGATATTTACAAAGTTGTGACAAGGTAGCTCCGCTTCAGTACAGACAATAAACAAAGACATATCATGTTCATACTTTAGAATAAGACAAAATACATCTTGTGCTATATTAGCATTTGTAAAGTGGACATGTATCAACTGAAAGAATAGTTTAAGGTCATTCTTATTTGTTCATGGTATTTGTCGATCATATCAACAGACATGTGTAGCAACTGTCCTATAGATTCCAGTCATTATATTGCAGAACACACACCGCCGTTCTAATTGTGATACTGCTGGATACAGATCGCCGATCAGCAATATTACAAAGACTACAGATCGGTGATCATGATTATATTTGTAATATTGCTGACTACAGGCCGCAGTTATGACTGTGATATTAAAAGACTGCAGATCGCTGATATATTTGTAATATTGCTGACTACAGGCCGCCGTTATGACTGTGATATTTAAAGACTACAGATCACTGATATATTTGTAATATTGCTGACTACAGGCCGCCGTTATGACTGTGATATTTAAAGACTACAGATCGCTGATATATTTGTAATATTGCTGACTACAGGCCGCCGTTATGACTGTAGTATTGAAGACAGTCACTACAGTCAATAGCAAGAACAATTTATGAAACAAACATCACAATTAATATTTTAATAATAAAATTTTAAACTGCGCAGGTAAAGTGATACAAAACTGTTTCGAAGTATTGTGTGAAGCGCTCGGCAAATCTTTATTATCTAGAGTTTACAGTCGGTATCATGACCTTACTTATCTTGTCACGAGTTCAATCGGCAATATTGTGTCGAAATATAAGTTACATTTTGTTCTACGCATTATATAGCAATGATTGTTAGTGTGCTGGTCTAGCATCTCCACAACCAAGTGCAAGTATGGAAAGGTTAGTTGTTATAATTTATCACGAGAGCAATTCAATCGCTGTAGAACCGAACGACGTCATGTTGACATTGGATAATATTATACCGAACAGTCTGCCCGACATTTAATTAAATACCCTGTGTAAATATCAGTTCTATTAAAGACAAACAATAATTGTTCTGCCACCGACACGTTTTAGCAGCGATTAGTCGACGGTAATAGATTACATCTGGCGAAAGTGGAAATAGGACGTTAATGACCTCTAGATATGATGCCAATATTCTATATATAAAGCATGCAACAATTTTAAGAAATAACATCTTGAAAAATATTGTATATCCAACTTGATGTAATATTATATGTAATGTTTATTTGTATAAGTTGTTGTGTATTTTGTTTATACTGTACCTTTTGTATGTGGGCCGAAAGCCTAAATATACTACTCAAAAGAAGTTAAGGATCACCCGATTCTTTCATAATGGTGAAGTGATCCTTAACTTCTTTTGAGTAGTATTCAATAAACTTATTATTATTATTCTATTAAATACAGCTTCTTCAATTCTTCTTATATTACAACAGCATTGGGGAACATCTTAACTGTTCTTTTCAGTGATGCAGGCAGGATATTCCTCCATTTGGCTACGCTACACCTTTCTTTCTTTTCTGTCCTCTACTCAATCCATTGTGTTTTCCTCTTCCTACCTATTGACCTTTCACTTCTCTCCCGCTCTCTCTATCCTATAACTTTATATGGGATGGTGGGGTATACCCAGTTGCTAAAGCGTTCGCTCGTCACTCCGAAGGCCCGGTTCGACTCCCTACATGGGTACAATGTGTGAAACCTATTTGTTGTGTCCACCACTGTGTTATTGATGGAATATTGCTAAAAGCGGCGTAAAGCCATACTCACTCATTTAACTATATCTGAACTAAGGATGGTGTAGCTACAATTAACGACCCGACAGGGGATGTGGCATCGTATCCGAGGGTGTTTTGTGTGACCCAGATTCATTTACTGACAGATAGCTTGAATAATGTTCCCTGCGGCGTAAAGCGACATTCACTCACTCACTTACCAGGCCCCCTACCCCTTTGTCTACCCAATCGCTTCCACCTCTACCACCTAGCCCATTAAGATCCGGGGTAGAATAGGTCTTCACCAACCCATGCTTGCCGTAAAGGGCGACCATGCTTGTCGTAA